ACTGGACTATCACTGGAATATTACTGGACTATGATTGGACTATGGCTGGATTTTGACTGGACTTTGACTGGACTATGACTAGACTATGACTGGACTATGACTAGACTATGACTGGACTCTAACTGGACTATGACTAGACTATGACTGGACTCTAACTGGACTCTCACTAGACTATGACTGGACTATGACTAGACTATGACTGGACTATGACTGGATTCTCACTGGACTATGACTGGGCAATGACTTTCTTAACAGTTGGGGGTGATTCATGATTTATTCTCATCTTTTTATCTATTTTTAATTTTTACATTTAATTTGACTTATTGACCAAACATTCGATAAATATATTAATACTAAAAGCAGTTAGTCTCAGGACTTTCAACAGGCAGATATAAATGTTTTTACCTTCTGTGAGACCAAACACTGCCAGCAGGGGGAGACAGAGAGGTGAGGAGGGGGGGATCCAGAGGAGAATGACTGACAGATGGTGGGCGGGGCTTAACATATGAGAGGCTGAACTGAGTTAGAGCAGAATCAGACCTGACGGGACGAGAGACAGTGGCACACCTCAGAGAGACAGAGACGTGTTCTCTAAATGGAATATACTACAACTACTGACAACACACTGTGTACTCCATGGTAAGACCACACACACACACACACACACACACACACACACTCTCTCTACATGTGCTGTAGCTGCAGACTGTGTGTGTGTTTCAGCCCGGTGTGGTTGAGGGGGGGAGGGGACTGAAGAGGTTTAGGGTTTCTACCAAGGTGTGTGCTTCAAACGTTTGTGTGTGTGTGTGTGTGTGTGTGTGTGTGTGTGTGTGTGTGTGTGTGAAGCTGCAGCAGAACTGTTGAGTGTTTGTCAGGTGAAATAAACCTCAATAAAGTTTCCTCCAGATTGAATTAGAATCCACCTTCTGGTGCTCAGAACACGAGGCTGCAGGTTCATCACTGGATCACAAATGATCTCAAATATCTGCTGATGTTTGTTCAAACTGGCTCTACTTTATTGACAACAGCAGCAGACAAATGTGTGGAACAAGGCAGCAGACTTCACTGTCATGGAGGAACGTCACATGAAGAATGAAACGAGTTCTCTTCTTGCACACTTTAGAGAAACGTGACTGAAGATGAAAGTCATGATGTTGCTGCAGGGTATTGAGCCAGTGTTGTTGTTGTTGACAGAGTGATTTCGGTCCTACTGGTTCTGATAACCAGGCTGGCTGCTGTTTAGTGGTTCTGACCAGCTGACACTCTGAACCCCAAAGCAGCTTCTGGGTGTTTTTTTCTCCGGTCACATTTTACTCTCTGTGGTGTTGATTTTCAAAATAAAAGTCCTGTTCCTCTATAGAAACAGAACCATGATGACTAGAAGTAGAACTAGAACATGTCTTCACTGCAGAAAAATCATGCGATTAATCTGCGATTTAATTTGTTTAAATATATATAAATATGGTTTTATTTGTACATATAAATAAATGATATTCATATACAGTATATATATAATATAACGTAGTCGGCTTCAGTTTGAAGAAAGAGACCTGAGGCTGTTGTTTCTGTCTGACAGACAGAGAGACAGACTGTGTTTTTATACATCAAGGTTTACATGTTGGACAAACCTTTAGTTCTACTACAGTCATTATTAATGGTTCATATTTAATCTTCTATTCTTTTATTATTACTACAGCATGTTAGAATCACAGTAACTAAGTACATTTACTTAAGTACTGTGATGGTACTTTATACTACACTACATGTATTTATATTGAGTAAATTATATATAATGTAACGTTCTACAGTAGATGAAGTATGAATGAATAATATCTTCTATGTTACTGCATCAATAATAACAATAATAATGTAATATACTGTATATAATACAACAACTACAGAGCCCAGTGAGTACTTCTACCTTTATGCTTTTACATTTTCTTAATAGTTGTATTAGTACTTTAACTTCAGTAAAAGATGTTAGTACTTCTTAATAGTTGTATTAGTACTTTAACGTCAGTAGAGGTATTACAGTATTATAGGTAGTGCATGCTGATCAGTGACGGTGGAGCTCTGGATGTGTCTTAATAATGTGATGATCTTGGTTAGTAGAACACGTTCATAAAGAAGAGACTGTTCCTGTAGATCTTCTGGATCAGACCTTCAACAACAGCTGCATGAAGTCCAAACATTAGACATCAGCCGGACGTCTCTTCATGCGGCCTTCAGAACTAACCGTGTTTACCAAACAGCAGCTGGTGGAGGAGAGCAGCAGTGGGTCTGAAGATAAGAACTTTAAAGAAGCTGTGCTCAAGTTAGAAGAGACTTTCTGTAAACGGAGATCTGAAGAGAAGAGACGTGTTGAGACAGAAACATCTGAGATGTTGAGACTTGTTGAGGGGCTGAGAGTCCTGAAGAAGTTCAGGAATGTTCTCCCATCATAAAGAACTGGTTCAACAACATGAGAGCTTTAATAATCAATGACTACATGATGATCAGGTATCAGCTGTTCACTGTGTGAATGTAAACACACACCTTCATAATGAATACATCTCATATTAAAACATGTTCTTTAATAGAACATAAAGGCTTTGATAGACAACAATATTTAAAACCGTTATCCTTCTAATACACTGACGTAATTTCATCCTCGTCAATTATTGTCGTAATTAAATCACATATCGTAGGTTTCAAAGCTTCTATTGAGGTTTTGAATGAATCTTAAAATGTCTGTCTTCATATCTTGATGTTATTTTGTTGATTAAAGTCATGGTGCTGTTAGATTGCAGTCTGAGGTGTGAGTCTGGTGGTTCTGGTCTGTCTCAGGTTCAGGTCTATAGACAGAAGGAGGTCTGAGGTGTGACTGGTGGTTCTGGTCTGTCTCAGGTTCAGGTCTGTAGATAGGAGGTCTGAGGTGTGTGTGGTGGTTCTGGTCTCTCTCAGGTTCAG